TTGCCATGACCAGGCAGTAACCGGAGCAGCTCGGCGTTTTGCTGATGGAATGGTTTTCCATCGGGAAATGCCGATTTCGGAGAGAACTTCTCCGTTCCTTTTCACCAAAGTTTGTTTTTTGCGGTCGGGTGAATGGATCCAAAGTGGGAACACTGAAGGATCAGCTGTGAAAAGCCGGGCGATATAGGAGCAAACCCAGGGCTGAGGAGGTGCACTCTGAAAGTCGCAAGCTAGAGAACTGCAAGCCAGAAACCAATAAACCATTGTATTAACCTCAAACATTCTTTCTATTTGGATTTTGGAAGAGCGTCCAGCCTCTTTGTATCCTTCCCATGCATCTGATGTTGTCCCATCCCACGCTTCCCAGCCTGGCCCTGGCTCCCTGTGGGTGGTAGAGGCACATGGGGGATGTTAGGATGGGCAGGGGCTGTGAGCTCTGCTGGCTTTTGGGGTCCTGGACGATGAGGATAAGGACACAGCTGGGGTCGGGGCAGCAGACAATCAGCAGTCAGGGGGAGTGGGCTGAAAAGTCTCTGCTCCCCTTGGGAAAACACGTGGTGGGATCTGGTGAGGATACACATAGAGGAGTGTCAGTGCTGCTCTGCTGAATCTGTCCCCATTACCCCGTGGGTGCTGGGGAGGGGCAGACAGACAGATGGCATCTTCTACTGGTGAATAACGGGCCGGGAATAGAAAGCTGAAACCAGAGCCTGCGTCTTCCCATTGCATCTTCAGCATCATGTGAGCCTTCTGCACATCCCATGGCCTGGCCCTGCTGGAAATAGTCCGGAGCTCACACTTACAGGGCCGGGCACACAGCTGGTGGCAAGGAGGGTTGCAAGGCACCAGGATGGGCACACAGCCCCAGTGCTGCTGGATGCCGTGGGATGCAAGCTGCAGAGGTTTAGTGCCAATCCCACACAGTGCCCTGTGGCCCTGCATGGCACTCCTGGGTTTGTACCGTTGCTGTTTGTGCCAACACGCTGTGACTTTCCTTTTTGCCCCCCTTCTCCCTCCCCCCTCTCCACCCTCTTTTAATAGCAGCCTCTAACAGCCACAGTCATTCTTCTTTGTTGACCCGGCCCTTTGTGGCATCAGCACTTGGCATTTGCAGAGCAGTCCGTTCTGGAAGGGGGGGGGGGGGGAAAAAGGAAAACAAGCCTCTTAAAAAAAAATAATTTTTCAAATAAAGCCAACCCAGCCCTTGTGCTGGGGCAGCAGTGCCCTATGGCACCATGCAGTGCTGCAGGGGGATGCTGATGGGAACGGGGCTGAGAGTGGAGCAGTGATTTCTCAGTGCTCTGTGGTGTGGAGCAGCTCAGCTCTGCTACTGAGTGGGGGGTTTCTTTGCCCTTTTTCTTTCTGATGCTCCTGCTTGCACCGTGCACCTGGCTGGGAGCATCCCTGAGTCACCTGCATGGCTGCACGGATAGCTCACGAGCAAGAGGGGATTTCCCAGCAAAAAGACCCACTGAACAAGTCTCAGAAGTCCGAAAAATCACATACAAGTTAAAGCAGCCGATGAAGCATAGATACACATACATAACACATACATTTCTGTGAGGCTGCTCTGCCTTTTCCTGCTGAAAATAAGTGCATAGATCAGCCTTTAAAGAAAGAAAGAAAGAAAGAAGTACATAAAAGTGAGCCAGCAGAGAGAAAAACACAGCTGTTGAGTGCAGAGTTCAAGGTCACTGAACCCCAGGCCGATGGCCCAGCATCCCACTGAGGCCGTGCTGCCAGCTGTGACCTGGGCAGGTGACACGATGACACTCAGGCTGGAGCCTGCATGCCTCAGTTTCCCCCCATGGGAATGGCTTCTATGCGGTTGGATTTACGCGTTCAGAGCTGCTGGTTCATTTTCCCCTGACCCTTTTCCTTTTTCTTCCTTTGCACAATAGGGCTCTGCTGCCTCCCAATTAGAGAATAGCTTCTTTGGAAACATATCCCCTTTTCAGACCCCAGACCCCGCGGAGGATTATCTGGGGGGGAGCTGGGGGTGGCTGGGGGAGCAGTCACGCTGTCTCGAAGGCACTGTGTTGTTTGAAATGCTCTTTAAGGCACTTGATGACTCACAGCAACAGCTGGAAGGAATAAGCGGTTGGTAATTTCCATATTAACCTCCGGGTCCTGGGGACAGGGATCTGCAGCACGTGCCTGGTTGTGAGGGTGTGCTGGAAGCGGGCAGAATCGGGTGCAGCCTGGTTGGACAGGGTTGGGCACACGGTTGAGGTTGGGGACAGCGATAGATGTGAGGATGGTGACGAGGATGAGGTTGGGGATGGGGATGAGGATGGGATGTAGATATGGTGGGGACACGGGTGGTCTCGGCACAGCCAGCCTTGGCTTGCTGCAAAACCACCCGGCCCTCGAGGGCTGTTTGCACAGCACCTTGCACAACTCGTGCTCTCTCCCAGCCCTGATGCAACCCAGCCACACAGAGGCCACGCGGAGGCCACCCATCCCACTGGGATGTGCGTGCGGACGCAGAGCTGCTGAAGGTGTCACAGAGCAGCAGACCTCGCCGTCACTCTCCCTGGCCCTGAGATAGCCTGAAAAAGGCAGGCACTGATGGAACACTCCCTGCCTCCAAGGGAGCAGCGATGGAAAATCCTGCGCCAGCCTCTCCTCCATCCCCGCTCGCCCCAGGGGACGCGCTTGCCGCCAGGGCATATGTTTTCAGTTCTTGCCGAGGCCGACTTGAGAAATTCTCTCTCCCTCCCAGCTTCTCTGTTGCAAAAAAACAGCAACCGCAGGGCCGAGGAGACGGTGGATGATAAATGAGCTGCTCCGGCCGTGCGCAGCCAAGGCCCCAGGAAGCTGCTCCCAGGCTACGTGCTGGTGGGATGCGGGGCCGGGGGGGGGGGGGCTGGGGGCTCATGTCACCCCTGGAGTGACCACGGGGACAAAAGAGAGGCTCCGGCCCCGCTGCACTCCGGTGCTTGAATGCAGAGTGTTGTTTCCTTGCCCATCTGCAGAGCAGGCGGGACAGCATCTGTCGGCCCCACGCGCGGCTCCTGGGGGGGCAGTGGGGCTTTGGGGGCAGCCCTGGGGTTGTGCTCCCTGAGGACAGCAGGGGCAGAGGCTACAGGGATGGGTGAAGCCTTTCCCTGCAGCGTCGCTTCTTGGGGGTGCTGCTGCTGGCGGGGGGCTTTCCCCAAGTTGGGGTTGCATCCTATTGGGTCTCATCACAAAATCACTGCGTGGAGACAGCAGTGCTGGCAGGGAGAAGGGGAGATGCTGGGAGACCTTTAAAGAGCATTCTAGTCATGCCCGCCCCGCCACGCGCCGCGCTCCCGACGCCCTCACCGCATAGAGCAGCCGCAACATCAGGCCTATAAATAAATAAAATACAACGAGGCCCCGCTGTCTTCTGGAAAACCCTGAAAAAAGCTGCTCCGAGCCAGCTCTCCCAAGGTATCGTGTTCTCCTCCTGGTGTGTCACCTCCCCCCCCCCCAGCCACACGGCTTTATTGCCGGAGCCATCTGCGTGGAAACTGGATGCCGGTCCCCAAAGAGCCCTTGGTGCCCCCTGCCCGCTCTCCAGCTGATGTCACACAATCTGTTTGATCTCACGGCCAGTGACCGGGGAGGAGGTGACATCTGAGGGTCGGCCTAACCCTGCAGGGTGCAGTCCCTACAGCAGGGTGATGGGGTGATCCCACGGGAGATGGCAGTCCTGCGTGTCCCAGCAGCGCCGGTCCCTGAACCCCGCTGCGCTCACGGCGCCGCGTCACCGTGCTGCAATCGCTGTGCCTCACTCAGGGTTCAATCCTGCACAGCAAAGACAGGCACGGTGCCCTGCAAGGGCAGCAATGGGGACACGAGGGTGACTTGACACAAACTCAGTGGCTCAGTGCTGCTTGCAGACAGCCCCGCTGCCGTTCATATATCTTTTTTATGGGGAGACCCACACTGGGTGTGCTGGGCTGATTAATAAGGCAGGTTTCACTGCGGCCGGACCCCGGTACGCTTTGAGCTTCCGCGGTGCCTGTTGTCCAAGGACAACAAAGTGCTTTACAAGCACTAAATCTTATCGCGGGCTGTAAGGCAGGTAAGGATATACCGGGATTATTGCATGCGTCGCTGAAACGCGGCCAGCTCCGGCTGAGAACACATCAGCTATTTACCAGCGAGCGGCAAAGCGATGCAGCATTTTAGGGCCAAGCGGGAAATAGAATCTGGTATTGAACTGGAACAGCAGCAGGACTTTTAAATGCGAAATAAATTACTGGGGCTGGGACTCGGTCGGGGCACTGAGTTAATGTCTGGTGCGCGGCGCTGCGAAGGACAGGGACGGTGTCGCGGTGTCTCCGGCACGGGAGGGGGGTGGGGACACAAAGCGCGCACAGAGGGGGTGGGTGAAGAAGGATGGAGAGGGGCGTGGGGCAGCTCGCGAATCCCCCCACGGCTCTCGGTGGGTTCTGCTCGTGCCCCCCTCAACCCCCCCAAGCTGGAAGGTCGCGATGGGGGCGGCGGTGCGGGCGGGGCCGGGTCGGGGGCGCCGGGGAGGGGAGGGCGGTGCGGCGGTGCCGGGAGGCGGTTCGCAGCCGCCCTTCCTCCGCGCCTCGCAGCGGCACCCAAACTTTCGCAGCGAACTTTTTATTCCGTGTTTTTTTTTTTTTTTTCCTTTTCTCCCTTTCCTTTCTTTTTCCCTTTTTTTCCTTCCCCCCTTTTATCCTCCCTCCTTTTTCCCTTTTATTTCCCTTTTTCCCCTTTCCCTTTTTTCGCCCCCCTTTTTCCTTCTTCCTCTTTTTTTTTTTCCTTCCCCTCCCTCCCCCCTTTTCCTTTCTCCTTTCTCCCCTCTCCCCTTTACCCCCTCCAACCTCCCCCCACCTCCCCCAAAACACTTTTTTTTTTTTTTTTTTTTCTCCCACCCCTTTTCCAACCCAGGAGGAGGGCGGGCGCGGCCCGGAGGGAGGCGAAGGGGGGGGAGCTCCTCAAACCCGCCCCCCGAGCCTGCGTGTCCGGCGGAGCCGCGGGATGAGCCGGGGGCGGCGATGAGCGCGGCGGGGCCGGGGGCGGCGGCGGCGGCGCCGCTCTCCCGCAAACAGCGGCTGATGGCCGCGCTGGCGGCCGGCGAGGGCGGCGCGGCGGCGGCTGCGGGCGGCCCCGGGGCTCCGCAACCCCCGTCGGCGCCGCTCTGCTGCTTCATCTGCGGCGGCGGCATCAGCCGCGGCAAAGAGCTGAAGCTCCAAGTGAGGCCCCCCCGCGACCACCGGCCCTTCTTTCCGTTCCTCCAGCACCAAGAGCCGGCGCCCGGAGCCCGCGCCGTCTCGGCGGAGGGTTGCGCTTTGGTCTGCGCCGTCTGCCGCTGTTTCCTGGGAGAGCAGTGGGACTCCTTCGAGCGCAGCCGCACGCCCGTGGAGAAGCGCATGTATTGGCTCAAGCGGCCCCACCAGTGCGAGGCGGCGGCGGCGGCGGCGGCGGGGGGCAGCGGGCTGCGGCGGGGGGCTCCGGGCTGGGACCCCGGCGCGCCGCCTTGCCGCCGCGAGGAGGAGGAGGAGGAGGAGGAAGAGGAGGAGGACGAAGGGCCGGCGGCCGGCTCCGAGCTGTCCGAGCTGTCCGACGCCGATCCCCTCTCGGAGCCCGAGGGGGCGGGCGGCGCGCTCAGGGCCCCCCCCGGTGGCAGCGGGGATCAAGCGGGGGGCGGCGTGCTGCTCGTCGGACAGCGAGATCAACATCACCAGCGAGGAGGAGGAAGGCGAGGAGGAGGAGGAAGGCGGCGAGCGGCCCGCTTGGGTGCCGGGCACCGCCTGCTACATCTGCGGCAGCTCTTTGGCGCCCGGCGGGCAGCACCGCGTCCACGTGCAGAAGCAGGAGAAGAGCTCGCCGGCTCCTTTTTTCCCATTCCTTTGGCTGCACAGCCCCCCGCCGGGCGCCCAGCCCCTTTCTCCCACCGGCAGCACCCTGGTGTGCCCCTGCTGCTTCTCCTCGCTCATGCAGCAGTGGCAGAGCTTCGAGCTGGCCAACGTGCCCGTGCTGCAGCGGCTCTACGTGGTGCCCCTCAACGCCAACGCCATGCCCAAGGGCCGTCCAAGGGGACTCAAAGAGGATGGAACCGGTGTCCCTCCGGTGCCCGAGGCGTGTTATCTGTGCGGGGAGGAGTGTGGCAAAGAGGCGAGGCCGGTGGCGGCCAAAATCACCAACGGGAACGCCAAGAGCACCATGCACTTCCCCTTCCTCAGCCTCCTGCCTTGCCCGCCTGGAGCCAAGGGGCTGAACAAGCACTGGGAGGTGAGCAGCTGTCGCAAGTGCTATGGGGTCCTGCAGGACCTGTGGGCCATGTACCGCGCGTGCCACAACGAGGAGCTCATCAACTCAGTGCAGAGCTTCCTGGGGAGGTACCACCAGGTGTTCTCTGCCTCGGAGCCAGGTCACCCCATCGGCAAACCAGGAGGTCCCACCTCGGTGTGCTACATCTGCGGGGCTGAACTGGGAGCCGGCAGGGAGTTCCAGCTCAACGTCAACCCGCCGGGGAGATTTGGAGAGAAGGAACCGTTCTTTCCCTTCCTCACCGTCTACCCGCCAGCCCCACGGGCACGGCCGGCCGACTCGACGGGGCTGGTGGCCACGTGTGTGCTGTGCTACCACGACCTGCTGGGCCAGTGGCTGCAGCACGAGGGCAGGAACTCCCAGCACCCCAGCAGCGCCTGGTCCCGCCAGTATAAAGTGGAGACCTTCGTCTGCTTCTTCTGCCGCCAGGAGAAGAAGCGATGCCTTGGATTAAAAGCGGTGCAGGTCGCCAGGCTGCCTGTCTTCCTCTACACCCTCCGCGTGGCCAACAGCCTGCTGGTGGATGATGGCAAGCAGCTGACCATCGGCGCGTGTGCAGAGTGCGGGGCCGTGGTCCTGGCTGGCAAAAGCGTGGCCCCCCCGGAGCTGCTGGCCGTGCCACCCCCGGCTATCGTCCCCAAGGTAAGGCATCCCCGGTCCCCTTTGCCCCCCCATGCTGTGACAGTGCTGGCAGCCAGCAGGTGACGTAGATGGATGCTCTCCTTTTGGGTTCGGTCCCGTTGGGGCAGTGCTAATGAATGGGGTGCCTTTAGCAATGAGCTTTCGGAGCCGTCAAGCCAACAGGGAGCGGATAAATATCCTTCCAAGAGGATTCCAAGAAAAAATCCTTCCAACCAGGCCTTGCACAGAGCCATCTCTCTGAGGTGTTGGCACCGGCTCTTTGCAGCCCTGTGTGAGGGAGGTGGGCTTGTTTGGCATCCAAAGTGGCCAGAACCAAGGAAATCCTGAGCGTGGACCTCTTGCAGCCACAGATAACCGGAGCTGCTCTAGGGCTGCCCATGCTCACCGCATCCTCTGGAGATGGAAGGAGCGCGCCGCCGAGGAAACTTCCCACGTTGTCTCCGGTTTTATAGGGAGCCCCAATCAAAGGGTTTCCTCCCGCAGCAACCCGAGCCCTTCCTGCAGCTGGGAGGCTGATGTGCAGCGCGGGGTTATGCAGGGTGCTGCAGGGCAGCGCCTGGGAAGTTGCACGGGAGAGCAAAGATTCCCTTCCGCCAAGTTTGCGTTCCTTCCCGTGGGACGGGGGAACTCCTGCTTTTAGCCCTAAATTTCCAGCCCCAAATTTCCAGCTCCTGGAGAGCAGCTGCTCTGTGTCTGCAAAGCAGGCCCCAGCCCGGGCGCCGTGAGACACCACCATCCCAAATCCTCAAATGAGTTTTCAAAGCCTTTCGGCTCAGTTTGTAGCCAGAACCCCGCGGCTCTCCGAAGCGCTGGCATTTTCTTTGGAAATGCAAAACAGCCCTCCCCAAACAGCGCTCCTTTTCTCTCCAGCCTCCCCAGCCCGATCACAGCGACCCTTTCTGCAAGCCATGGGCTCACAGTTTGGTGTCCGGTGGTGCCATTTGGGAAGCCACGGTGTAGGAGAAGCACCAGCGAAGGGAATCCCCTGGGATCCGTTGATTTTGGGTGGTTTCCCCATTCTGCCTGGCTGCCATCCATGCGGGTCCCTCGTGGAGTGAGGGTGATTCATTGCATCCTTGCCTTCTCGGGATGCTGCTTGCAGCTGACGCAACGGCGCCACGTGCACGGGGCTCAATGGAGCAAGGATGTGTGGGTCACCCCCCCACGTGCTCACAGCTCTTCTGTCTGTCTGTCCATCTCCTGCCCCATTGGCATCTGGCGGCACTCAGCTCGTGCTGAGGGGGCTGGGAGGGTTGGGATGCAGGGAGCAGCCCGCTGTGCTGACCCAGGGGTGATGCTGACCAGGGGTGATGCTGACCAGGGGTGATGCTGACCCAGGGGTGATGCTGACCCAGGGGTGATGCACCAGCAGCTGGGAATGAGATCTGCGCATCCCCAGCTGGTGGTGGCCCACACTTCTCCATGCTGGGATATGGCATTTCTGAGCGCTCCATTGTGGGGATGCAGACACGTGAGCCCTTCTCCCCACCAGCCCAAGCCCCAGACTTCCCCTTGGACTCCTGTCTTTGACCTGTGCAGCACTGAAAAGCTTTTGTGCGGGGCCATGAAAAGCAGACTGGGGGGGTTGGATGTGGGGGTTGTGCTGGGGAAGGGATGCTATTCAGTGCTTCCCTCTTGTTCCTGGGTTTGCTAATGAGCAAATTAAAGGGCTGCTACAACGAGAGCAGTGCAGGAGGCATTGCTGCTCGGGGTGAACACAAGGATTGCTGCACTTTGTGGGGCTGTCCCATGTCCTGATGTTGACTTTTGCTGTCATCTTGCCTTTTTCCTCCCTGTCATCATGCATCCTATTAACACAGGGATGAAACCACTTCCCTGTCCCTCCTGGCAGCACTGTTTGCTGAAGGTATGTTTTCCCTTGCACCCAGAGCTGGTGGCTTGCTGCTGCCCTGCCTGCAGTGGGGTGACCCATATGGTCTTGCTGCTGGGTGAGCATCAGGGCTGTTAGCACTGAGCTGCTAACGAGGGAGCTCAGCACCTGAAGCTTGTTAGGAAGGCAGAGGCAGAGGGGTTGTGGTGAATCTACTGCTGGTTGGAGCTGAGGAGCAGTGGGGAGGTTGTGTTTGGAGTGATTCTTCTGTAGGTGAGTTTCTTTGGAGGGGGGGATGTTTGTGTGGGAGCTGCAGCAGGGCCTCCTGTTTTTGGCTTTTATAGGGTAGGTTTGAGATCCCAAGTGGTTTCTCAGTGTGGGTGTCTGGATGTCCTTTAGGTGTGCACCATGAGGGTATATCCTTCTCCCAGCTCTGCCCTTTGCAAAGGGAGGCTTATGAGCACCAGTGTGCTGTTGTCGGGTGAGTGCCTGATGCTGTGAGCTGGACAGTCTGAATGAACTGTAAACTGTGGCTGGGAAGGTGCTGGAGAGAAGAGGGCACTGAATGTGTAGGGGAGAGGGGAGGCTGTTGGTCTTGGGGAGAGAGGGTTACAGGAGATGGAACATAGGGATGGAATTATAGTGTGCCATAAAGCTTCCTGTGCTGGTTGATATTCCAGAGCTCAGTCCAAGTCCTCCTGCCCTTAGCTGGTGGCTGTGGTGCCCAAGCACTGCATCAGCCCAGTGTTGTGCTCTCAGGTCAGTGCTCAGCGTGCGCTTGGAGACATTGCTGTCCTCAGGAGGTTCTCCGACTGCTCTGTGAGCATCACCTGCTGTCAGGGCAGGGTTTGGGCTTCCTGCAGGCATCCAATGGAGCAGGAGGCTCAGCTCTGACCCTGGTTGGGGTTTTAGCAGAGGGCATCTGCTCCAGGGTTGCAGGTTGGGAGCAGAGGGTTCGGCCCCTTTCTTTTGGGCTCTGTCACACTGTGTTTCAAAACAGCTGTTGGGAGGCGTTTTCGCCTTTCCTTTGAAAAAAGGTTGCTGGCTGACTTCAAAGAGCTGCTGTGCTCTTGGCTAAGCCCTGTCCCACTGCTTGTCAGCAGAAATGGTGCTGCAAAAGCAAATGCAGGAGGCCAGGGGGAAGCCTGACCTCCTGCATTGCACTGTGCAAAATTGCTGGAGAGGGTGTGCGGGTCTCAGGTGTGCCACAGTGCAAAAAGCTGCCCAGGTCGTGGCCTGGGGAACCTTTGCTTTCATTGCATCTTTGCTTCATTTTGAAGCAAACTGACCAAAAGCAGCAGGAATGAGGTGCCAGCCTGGTGGTTGCGTGCTCCCTGCTGAGTGGCTGCTCTTCTTGCTCTGTGTGTGGGCTGTGCAAGGGGGGAAGAGGGGGGAACAGGAGAGCAAAGGGGATCCTGCTCTGTCTGTAGGGTCTCAGTTCCAACCGGTGGTGCTGCTGGTGTGGAGTGCTGCAAGCAACACGAGGAGAAAGTGCCCCTCACTTCTCTTGCTGCTGAGGTCACAGCGTGTTTGCTATGCACACAGCTGGGCTGCAGGCCTGCACCCCCCCCATCCGTTGCCCTCCTGCTCAGTGTCACCCTGTGTCCTATGGGGGGGGGGGTCACCCATAGGTTCCTAGCACCCTTCCCTTGTGCCCCACGGTGGGCTCTGTGCCTTGGCTGGGCTGACCTTGCTGTCCCAGCTGTCCCAAATGCCAGCGCTGCCAGCCGTGTCCCACAGCCCTTGTGCTGACTCCACAGCTCACCACCTGGCTGCTATATATATATTTTTTCCTAATCCCTCCCTACTTTCTGTCCCATTCCCCAAAGGGTGTGGGGTCTGGACGCTGCCTTTCTCCTCCCAGGGCACCTGCAGGGCACCATCCTGAAATGCACACTGCCCAGGAAGGCTGCCTGTGCCCTGCACCCCACTCTGCAACCATCCTCCCCTCCTTCCCTGCAGGCTCCAGGCAGTATTTGCAGCTGGGAGTGTGCTGTGGCATCCCTAGGCTTTACAGTGCACTTTGCAGATGTAGTTACAGGATTTGTTCCTTATTAAGAGGGAGGGAAGAGAATTTCTCTTGATCTGGTGGTTTTCTTTTGCCCTCTCTGTGTGAAATATCCCATGCAGTGCCCTCCTCTCTCTGGGACAGGGGATGGTGCAAAGGCTTTTGCAACACTCAGAGCATCTTGCAGCAGCTCCTGCTCCTTGTGAGGGACATCAGGCCAGGAGCTCTCGCTGGGCAGCATCCAGCCAGACACTGCCTTGAAGTACTCCACAAAAGGGATCCCAGGCTGCAAAGGATGGCACAGGATTGTCCCTTTGGTGTGACGTTGCTCTCACTGGGGATGTGAGAGGGACAAATCTGAACGGGTGATGGGGCAGAGCTCCCCTAAGGTGGGGGCTGCATACAGGGAAGGGGGTGCTGTGCCCTGCATGGGATGGGACTGTGGGTGTCGGGGGCACCTGCTGAGCTCGGTACAGTGCAGACACAGCCCTGGTGTGGGGACATGGCCTCTGTGCAGGATGGGAGTGCTGTGCTGGTGGCAGTCTCCCAGCAGCACCGGGCTTCCCTGTGCTGTGAGCAGCTGGGCTGGGAGCCCTTCCAGCTGCACCGTCCTCCAGGCCTCAGCAAAGGGCTCTGACTGCTCCGCATCCCCGACCCCCAGCCCTCCCCTGCTGGGCTGCAGGGATGCCTGAAGCATGCTTTGGCCATGCAGAGCCATGCAGCAGCGCTGCATTTCAGTTTGCGTTGGCCCTTTGTTGCTTTGTGTGCTGCAGAGCTGTGCTCTACTTTTGCAAAACGCGTCCCGTTCTGAGTTGCTGGGAGGTTGGGTTTGCAAAATGCATCATTTCCAGAGCTGTCAGGAGCACAGTTCTCCCCCCTGCAGCACCCAGGGGAGGATGCACAGGGCCAGGCTGCTGCTGCAGGTCACGCTCTGCTCCGTGCAGCTGCTCTGCTCCCCCATGGCTGATAACAGCCCCTGCAGCTGTTTGCCTGTGCTGGGACCATTTATTCCTGGATCTTCAGCTGTAGTGCAGGGAGCAAAGGTTGGGGGGCGGGGGGTGGGGTGGGCTCTGTTGGGGCTGCTGCCTGTGTGCACTTTGCAGCTCATCCCATGTATAAACCTGGCGCTGCTGTATTTTGTTTTTATTTTTCTCCCCCTGTTCCGCATCAGTGCGAGAGCTGCTGGGCTTTAGTTGCTCTCAGGAGGCTGAAGTCATCTGTTTGTGCTCAGAGCAGCAGCTGCGCCCTCAGACCTTCTCAGAGTGTG